TGCCGACTCTGGCTTACTCATTAGCCGCATCTTGTAGGGGTGGCCCACCTTTAGGTGGATGTGTGCCAATAGAAAGGAAGCATTTATTATTACAGTGGTACCTCGGGTTACATACACTTCAGGTTACATACGCTTCAGGTTACAGACTCCGCTAACCCAGAAATAGTACCTCGGGTTAATAACTTTGCTTCAGGATGAGAACAGAAATCGTGCTCCAGTGGTGTGGTGGCAGTGGGAGGCTCCATTAGCTAAAGTGGTACCTCAGGTTAAGAACAGTTTCAGGTTAAGAACGGACCACCAGAACAAATTAAGTTCTTAACCCGAGGTACCACTGTATTGTTGTTGATGTTGTTGTTTTTATACCACAGGGCAGCTCACAACATAAAAGTACAATATAAAAAACACAAAATACGTAATAAAACTAACAACAGCCCAATAATCCCCCCCACCCACAATGCCAAAGTCATCAGCCAAAGACCTGGTGGAAGAGGAATGTTTTTGCCTGGTGCCTAAAGGTGTATAATGAAGGCACCAGCCGAACCTCCCTGGTGAGAGCATTGCACAAACGGGGAGCCACTGCAGAAAAGGCCCGTTCTCATGTTGCCACCCTCCAGACTTTTATGGAGGAGACACATGAAAAAGGGCCTCTGAAGATGATTTCAGGGTCCTAGTAGGATCATATGGAGAGAAGCAGTCCTTGAGGCACTGTGGCCCTGAGCCACATGAAGAGGGGGGGCTGAAAAACCTGTTTTGACTGTTAGTTGTTAAGAGACCCCTGTTGCCCTTGCAGAGCTGCAATTCCCAGAGTGGTGTAACAGTCACTTCCTCTTCCCTGGGAGTGTTGGGAATTGTAGCCCCGTGAGATGAGTAGGCCTCATCTAACAACTCTCAGAAAACCCTTGTAAAAACTACAGTTCCCAGGTTTCTTTTGAGCAAGCCATGTTACTTTATTGGCATGATACTGCTATCAGTTGATAGTGCAGATGGGGCCTATGTTCAGCTGTGTGGATGTGCTTGTTTACATGTGGGTGAACATTCAAGCAAGCCACTCCTCCCTTTGTATTCTGAAGTGGTACAACCCAGGAGCATCGGTTCCATATTTTCTGCGTTCAAACTTAGCCTGAATTAGGGATAGCTCAGTCGGTAGAGCATGAGGCTCTTAATCTCAGGGTTGTGGGTTCGGGTCCCACGTTGGGCAAAAGATTCCTGCATTGCAGGGGTTTGACCCTTGTGGTCCCTTCCAATTCTATGATTCTATGTATTTATCCCACCTTTCCTCCAAGGAGCTCAATGGGAAGTACATAGCCCTCCCCATCTCTATTTTTTCCTCACAACAACCCTGCGAGGTAGGTTAGGCCCTAAACGGCCTTGGTCCAGTATACCTGAAGGAGCGTCTCCATCCCCATCGTTCTGCCCGGACACTGAGGTCCAGCTCTGAGGGCCTTCTGGCAGTTCCCTCCCTGTGAGAAGTGAGGTTACAAGGAACCATGCAGAGGGCCTTCTCGGTAGTGGCACCCGCCCATTGGATGTCAAAGAGAAGAACAACTACCAGACTTTCAGAAGACATCTGAAGGCAGCCCGGTTTAGGGAAGCTTTTAATGTCTAATAGACCACTGTATTTTAATACTTTGTTGGAAGCCACCCAGGGTGGCTGGGGAGACCCAGCCAGATGGGCTGGGTATAAATGAATTATTATTGTTGTTGTTGTTGTTGTTGTTGTATGGGCGGGGTATAAATTGTTGTTGTTGTTGTTATATGGGCTGAGTGACTGGCCCAAGGTCACCCAGGGAGCTTCATGGCTGAGTGGGGATTTGAACCCTGGTCTCAGGTCCTAGTCTGACACCAACCACCACGCTGCATTGGCTGTCATTATGGACCAAACTGACAAGAAAACAAGGGTTGAATTTCTGCTTTCTTACGATAACACACCTCCTCCTTTTGTTGCAGCCAAGGAAGGTCTTGACGAAGTTCCCGCTGTCTCCTGTTGGTGTGACAGATTTGAGCAGAGAGCAAAGGAATTTACTCCTGTATCCAGAGGCGAAGAGGCTGCAGCCGGGTGTTTGCGCTGGGAGGCTCAGAAGGCAGGCTATGCTGTTGGCAGAGGGGTGGCTTCTAGAGCTTTTGTTGCTTGTGTGCATCTCGAATCTGATGATCAAAGGATGTCTGAGGGCAAGCAGCTTCCAGGGGGTGGGGAGGGGTGGGCGAGAAGGGTCTGTACTATCCGTTCTGTCATTTGGCGAAGTCGTGAAACTGGGGGAGCATCTTAAGAGAAAGGAAAGCTATCCGTTGTCATTCGGATCCAGAAAGGCAGCCCTGGGTCAGGTTTCATCTATTTATTTAACGTTATCATGGGATCACTTGCTGGAGCTGGAATATGTATCAAGACATGGGCAGGATTCTGAGCACAAGCCAGCAGGTGCCACTGGGAGGACTGCAAATTTTGAGCGTCTCACTCAACGTTTTTGTGTCCAAGCAAGCTTTGCCAAGTCAGAAGTACACTTTCAGCACTTTGCTGTACCCACGCCTGAAACTGACCGTTTGCATCGTGGCAACAGCCCGAAGCTGGAAGGCACAGAAGGGAAGAGTGCTTTTGCAGGTTTCCCATGTGCATCTGGGTGGCCACTGTGAGAACAGGATGAGAGATTGGCCGTTGGCCTGATTTAGCAGGCGCTTGTTTTGTTCTTAAGCAAAGGCAAAGTATGCTTAAGAACAAAACAAAGTATGCTTAAAAGGCAAAGTATGCTTCAGGAGCATGCTGGACTCGCAAAAGTGATGCCTGCAATGGAGCCCGGGGGGAAATAGGGTACAACTCATGTATAAACTCCAGGCCTTGAGCTGGAAATAGGATTGCCAACTGACCAAGAAAAGCACTGGCCAAATGTGCTCTTGTGCCTTTATTAGTGGCTCTACGTGCATAAATTCAACCAGTTTCTCAGCATGGGGAATACACTACCAGTTGTGAATATCTACACATCATGCTGCTGTTAAAGGCTTACAAGTACAGCGGCTGGTTGAAAATTTGGCAGCCCAGGTTGGAAAGGGAGGGCTGGATGGGGAAATAGGAAACGTCCCAGCCTCCCATTCTGGGCAATGGCTCTTGTTGCTGAACGCTTTACAGGGCCCTGCTGTGATTCCTTGGCACAGCTTACTACTAATTGCAGGATAGTGATTGTGCCCCTACAGGTTGAGTAATTCACGGTGTAACTGACTTGGCTGTCGGTGGTGTATTTTAACTTTTAACTCTCTAGAAATGGAAAATCAACAGCGCTTCTGTTTATTTAATAATTTATTCCCCAGTTTCCCAAAATGTGGTACAAAAACCACTTACAAAAAAGATTCAAACATTAAAAAACCAAGACATCGGTTCTAATAAAACCTGGCAAGAGTTGTTGTTGTTCCTTAAGCAGGATGCCTCTTGCTAATCAAGGCTCTCATAGTCCTTGTCAGGGAACTGCCATCGGAGGAACAGGTGGTGGAGGGGCTCAGGGAGGCTGGGAGAGACTCAACAGCTGAAGCAGGAACCAGCCGGGGGAGGAGTGGATCTCTGAGGGAATGCGAGCAGGAGGGAGGGCTCAGAGACGCTTCCAGCGAGAACAGTGGGGAGGTATCTGAAGCTCCCATAGGGAGACCCACGCCTCGCCGGAAACTGTCACGCCGTGAGTCCAGAAGACGTGTTTCCGTTAAGGAGCTGTTATGCTGGAAACGATTCCGAAAGCAACCACTGTCGGAATCTGCAAGTGACTAGAGCAGCCATGTCTGAGGGGCTCCGTCACAGACAGAGGTTTGTGAACGTGCACAGACTCTGAGGGACTACGCTTTTACGCACAAGCAGCTCATCATCCCATCACAGTCCTGTTCTATCAATGTTGTGATTCCTAAAAGAGCAGATCAGAAGCACACAGATATTTTTTTTAACATGTTGTTTATGGCGGGGGAGAAACTGAGCTTTCCTAAGTGCAATCTCGGATCTTTTGTTTTAAAAAGCACAAAATAGACGCAGGCTTAAGCATTTTCAGATCTGTTCACATGGTCATTATGGGTAATTAAGGGTTTTTAAGTTTGTTGGGGGGCTCATTTGTATATGCTCTTGGTTCCCCATATGGGCTTTATTTTAGCCTCCTTAAGATCGAGAACTCTGATTATGCTGGGAGATCACATTTTAATGGAGGACCTACTTGTTCTGAAAACACAAAGCTCATGACTTAGCGAGGATATGCAAACGCGTAGATGTCCAGACCAAACCCACAGCTCTCCTCCCTGGTCATGCCAACTGCTGGGGCTAAGCATTAACAAGGGAACTGGGCCTCTATAAAGCAGCTTTCAATAATTAGTAAACATACCCTCGACATACTTTAACAGTGAGAAGTCTGTGGCTGAACTTTCATTTCATTCACTTAGTGGCTTTAGGCGTGCCATTATTCACTGAGTCCTCTCCTATGCAATATAGGGATAATACTAGCCTAAGGGGAGGAACTGTAAGTGCTTTAAACAGAGGAAGAAACTCATGCAAATATGGAGTACAACTATTGCCTTAAGAACCTACTGTATTTTACGAATGGTCAAGAAACATGCCATTTCCTTGTTCTGTATGAGCAGCCAGTGCAATAGGCACGATATAAAATTGTCCTAATTTTGGCCACATTCCAGGGCAGTAGTTGTGAGCCTGTTGTTGGACTCCATTGGCCATCAGCCCCAGCCAGCATGGCCAAAGGGCAGAGATGGTGGGAGCTGTATTCCAGCAACATGTGAAAGGCCACAGGTTCCCCTCCACTACTCTTCTTCGGGTGCTTTTTCTTGCTCTTCTGACCCCAATTTGCTCTGCTCTGCCCTTTCAGTGTTTTGAATGCCAGTGGCAGAATTCCCACCATTGTCCCAGAGCACTGGAACATCCACCCTCCGTGGTTCCCAGCCAGAAAATCCTGGAGGACGGGAGCTTTCCATTCATCTTGCAAGTCTTGATTTCACCCACCCCTGCTTTTCTTATTTCATAGACATCCTGCTGAATCCTTCAGTCCTTTTATTTAATCATTTCACTTAAGAAAATTAATTATTTCACTTGTTAGTTGCATGATTCTGGGGCTGGAAGCTTAAAAGAGCCCAGATCCAGCCGCTGAAGAAGCAAACACAGGAGCTGATTCAGGGCAGAGGAAGAGGGCATGCTGGGATTTTCAGAAGGGTCACACAAAGTGTCAGAATTCCTGGGCACTCTTCCGCTGCCCTAAAGGATGAGAGGTCAGCCATGGACAGCTTTTTCAAAAGCACTGGACTCCTCCTTCACAGCTGCAGCTCATTAGTCCAATGCTCCTGCAGCATAAAAGGAAGGAAATGGGTTAATGTGCAAGGAACAACATAGCGGAGTGGAACAGGTGGGGCTTATGCCAGAGGTGATGTGGCCAAATAAAGGAGGGAGAATTTAAGCAGCATAGGCAGGAGATTAACTTGACTGGAAGGAAAGGGAGCTGGTTGGAGGAGAAAGGCTTATACGGGACAGGGATGGGCTTAAATTATGACAAGGGTGTACAGTGGTGCCTCGCAAGACGAAATTAATTCGTTCCGTGAGTTTTGTCGTCTTGCGATTTTTTTCGTCTTGCGAAGCACGGTGTCGGGAAAGTTTTGGAAAAGCTTCAAAAACCTCAAAAAGCTTTAAAAACCTCAAAAAAGGCTACCACACCGCGTTCTATGAGTTGCTCCTCGAAGTCAAGTCGCAACTGTATTAACGGTGTTAAGAAAAAGGAAACAAACTTGCAAGACGTTTCCGTCTTGCGAAGCAAGCCCATAGGCTTTTGTCTAGCGAGTTTTTTGTCTTGCGAGGCATTCGTCTTGCGAGGTACCACTCTACATCTATCTTAGGGTTTCCATACAGCCGGAATTTCCTAGACATAACCAGAATGCTGCAGTCGGAAGCAGTGTCTGGGGGGAAATCGCTAAAATGCCTGGTAAAATCTGGACATATGGCAACCCACGTCAGCAGTGTCGTTCTTGGCGATTTCCCTTAAAAATAGTGGACATTTAAAAATGTCCAGATTTTTAACTGTTTGAAATATGACAAACCTAATCTATCTGCTTGAACACAATATAGTTTCCAGCACAAACTAGTCAAATATAGAAATAGCGTCTAGAGGCCTTTACCTGGGAGGAGGAGGGATCAGCTTCTAGGTTGCCGTAACAGCCTTTATGGTGACGAACCAGGTCCCCCAGAGCACAAGGTTCTTGCAGCTGGGGGAAAGGGGGAGAAAGCAGGATTTTCTCAGTGTGGTAGCTGGAGCAGGATGGGGCAGGCTCAGGGCCAGCATTTCAAATTCTGTCAACCTGCTCCAACCTCTTTTTAATTCTGCCAGTGTGCAGGAGGAGTTGCTTACCCCGGGCACTGCCCTTCGATTGGCAGGAAGTGAAGCGGCTCTTTCGCTAGGAAAGCCCGAGACAAACAAGTCATGTGAGCAGCCATGGTGCAGCCAGGGTGGAAGCAGCGCAAGGGGATGTCATTGTCACCATCCTGCAGGGGCGAAAAAATCCAAAACACAGTCCTTCTAGCTTAATCCCTACTCCAATAACAGACACAGGAGGAAACAGCACCAATTCCTCTCTCATAAAGGCGTACAGCAATGGCTGTGTTTCCCTCCCTACTGTCGGAGGCAGGGTGCCTCTGGGTATCACCTGCAGGGAATCACCAGGGAGGAGAGTAGTGCTGCTGCACTCCTGCTTCCCAGCTTCCCAGAGGCATCTGGTTGGCCACTGTGAGAACAGGACTGGACTGCATCGACCTTCGGCTTGATTTAGTAGGGCTTTTGCATTCTCCGACAGCCAGTGTGTCCCGACTTCAAACTTCCTATTCCCCCAAATTCAAATCTCCCCCAGATTATTTCAAAAGTCTGGCAACGGACACTCATTCCATAGATCTCACCTCTCAAACCATCCAGGAATGCCGGCTTCCAGCCCTCCTTCCCTGCCCCACTCACTCCAATCCATTCTCCTGCTAAAGGAGAGGCGGGGAACCTTTTCAGCCCTGATCTTTCTCTGTACACCTAGCCCTGCGGCCCAACTTTGACAGGTGTCAGGAGCTGGAGTCAGGGGCTAGCCAGCAATAGAACATCTGGTGTCAATGAAGTTAACTCTTTATTCAAAAAAACCCAAAACAATGCAGGCCTAGTGATTGATCACAGCAACTCTTCCCAGTAGGTCTTGCCTCAAGGAGGCAATTGTGAGGACTGAAGGTCCCTGCCTCCCCACCGCTCTCTAAGGCTTCTACCGCAGGTCCTTCCCCAGGAACCTGAGGCTCCTTGGTCTTGTCTCTCTTTGCTCCACCCTCTTCATTCCTCTCCATGTTCTGGGAGACCAGAAGAAAGGGGGAGACTCTCTGGCTTTTCAGCAGCCTCCCTCCCCTCTGCTGCTGCGTCTGGACTGCTCTCTGCCACAGCCTCTTCCTGCTCACCAAGCCTTGTTCCCTCTTCAGCTTCCGACATCTCCCAGTCTGCTCCCTCTTCTCCCTCTGACCACTCACAGTCATCGCACCACCACTCCCCGGACTCTGAGCCTTCTTCCCTTCCCAAGCTAATGCCACTCCTCTGCATCCAGCCAGTCCATGAAGACAGGTGGGTAGGATACCAAATATCCTAGACCCAGCATTACCTGGAATTTTTTCAGACAGATGCTGCAGCGTTTTGGAGTAGCCACATTCACCTCTGGAGCCTTCACCCCCTTGGTCTTGACAGCTCGGACCTGCCCAAAAGCCACTGGCATGTGTAGCGGAGGTTCCAGGCCTGCAGGGAAGTCCCTGCAATATTCCTGCTTGAGCCAGCGGATGGTGAGGGGCAGACGGCACCAAGGAGCAGTTTGGAGCATGTGGGCTAAGACACGCAGGTGGAAGTCAAACTGGCGCTCCCGCGAAGTGCGGCGGGTCACGTGAGTGAGGCGGCGGGAGGAGTGCGGATGCTGCCAAGCCCACTCAAACTGCGTGGGGGAGAGAGGAAATCAAAGGAGATTGCTTAGGTGTGTGTGGGACGAGCAGTTGTGGGGAAAGGAACCCCACTGCTAAAAAGGAAAAGGAAGGTGAGCGGAAATTGAGAAGGGCCTTACCCGCAGAGCAGCCACATCAGAAGGGAAACCGTGGATGATCAGCACCATGTCCCTGCCAGGAGAAAGGAAGGAAAATTTGATTTCCCAGCATGCACAGCTTAGAAAGTCTAGTTCGCAGTATGCACTGAAATCTCCTCAGAATGGTTGGCCTAGAAAATGGACATACTTAGATGGAAGACATAGACAGAAAAGGAAAATTTGAAAGTCATAGCTCAGTAGTGGAATACGTGCTTTACAGGCAGAAAATCCTAAGTTCAATTTCTGATATGTCGAGTTAAGGCTGGCCTGGGAAAGGCCCCCTCCGTCCACCAAGTATAAAACCCTGGAGAGCTGCGGCCAGTCAGTGGTCGACAACTACTGAGCTGAATAGGCCAAAGGTCTGACTTGGAATAACCATAGCTGTCAACTTTTCCCTGTTTTTAAGGGACATTCCCTTATTCCGAATAGGATTCATTGCAAGAAAAGGGAAAAGTTGACAGCTATGGGAATAACACGGCTGTTATGCATTACCAAGGACCACGGCCGCTCGTCTTCCAAGCCCCACCACGTCGCTTCCCGCCGTTGTGCTGATTGATGCGTCGCTCGGGATTGACAGTGAAGCCAACGTAGACTCGGCCATGGTATCGAGGATTGGTGCAGTACAGAAGGTAGACCCCAAAGAAGTTGCACACTTCCACCACCATGGCGACCGCCGAGGGCTCAGGCACGTCCAAGGAGACCTACAAGGAAGGAGAAAGCAAGCGTTAGGCGAAGAGTCCCGCTCTCTTCCAGCAGTAACTGTGGTTCCTCTCTCACCTCTGCCCTTCCTTTGCTCCGACGCCTTCCCGTTTTCCACGCCGCTCAGTATAGGGCTGCCGTCTCTTCTCCTGGCAGGGCTCCTTTTCAAGAGATACGTGCAGGGCAGAAATCCAGCATCACTGCCTCTCCATGGAGGGGAGACTTGGACATGTTGGGCTGCTGCTTGTCAACACAGTTCTTGGAGGAAGAGCGGCCAACGAGGGTTCTTTATTGCCATAGAAGGGAGAGCTGCACCTATTGAACCTCTGCCTGCCATGCAGCACTACCGGAATATAGTTCTTCCTTTAGCATTTCCCATCATGCCCTGCGCCTTTCAAATAGAGGCCCCTCCCTTTCCCATCATGCTCCGCCTGAGCCTATCCGCAGTTTCCCATCATGCCCTGCACCCCACTTTTCTGTCCCCATCTCGGTCCGCTTGCTACCCGTCAACCTTTCACCTTAGGTCCGGCTAACCGTTTCTTTTGAGTTCGGCCTCGTTTGCATTCTATTGGCTGCGGCGAAGACATGCCCCGCCCACGTGGGCAACCTCCCGCGAGAGGAGCGGGTGACGTCACGGGGTGTGCAGGAGCATAGACTTATTAAGAAAACCTTTTAAGAGATCTAATCGGAACTAGTGTCAAAGAGTAGCCGAAAACCTTTTTTTTTTAAAGTCTATAATTCTACCTAAAGGCGCTTTTTCTTCATTTTCATCTTTAAGCTGTTTAGCAGGGTTGTACTAAGATATATCTTTGTTTACATTTGAGAATATGGCTTGCAACAATTACAAAAAAAAAAACAATAACAGATAAACGTTTCTGAATATTTTAACGAAGCGGTGTCAAACATGAAGGCGGTTTTATATGTCTCTAGTTCATTCCTCTGCACATCTACACAGAAGTAAGCCCCAATTAGTTCAATGCGTTTTAGTCACAGGCATAGGATTGCAGCCTAAGCCTGCGATAGGCTCAAGGTGATGTCACTCTAGTCCTTATTTCTTCTCTTTGGTAAAGTAATGATAATGATATCGATATATACTTTGCATTCAAATTTAGAAGAGGAAGTTAATTCAATTTCCCCCCAAAAGACTGCGGCGGTGGGGCAGCTCTATTTTATTCTTTCTCTACGGTAAAATAAATTACGCGGAAGTGATGCAGGCACGCACGACTTTAGGTCGATGTGATTGGTTAGAGGAGACCAGGGGCGGATGTGACGTGTGCCATAGGCGGAAGTGGGGCGTTGGGGGTTCTCTTTCATCTCGGGCGCTTCCCTGGGCAGGATGGAGGCGTCTGGCGCTCTCAGCGTGGAGGCCTTGCGGGAGCGGCTGCTCCAGGGGCTCGAGGCCGAGCATGTGGTAAGCGGGGCAGCCCCCCAGGGAACCTTTGACCCGCCCCTCTTTCTCTGAAAAAGAAGCCGCCGCTTCCTTTGTTGGAAGAGCCATTCTGTCTTCTTTCCCTGCGTGGCTCCTGGACGCTCTTTATTCTCTCACAGCGCCAGCTTGGTCCGGGTTTGCTCGGAAGGAAGGGCTGCTGTGTTTAGTGAGCTTACTCCGAGGAAAGTGTGCACAGGAATATAGCCTCGCACTAGTTAGGTGTCAGCTGCAAATCTTGGCAATTAAAATATTGGGAGCTCAACTGAGTAGTGCAAGAAAAGAGATAAGTAATGCATCTGATAGATATTAAATTTTGTCTAAAATGAGATCAAACCAGAATGACTATCACCTAGATTCTAGGACCCGTGGGACGCCTTTTAGCATTGTCATAAGCGTGTCTGCTATTGCTAAGTGTTTTCCACTGAGCTTGCTGGGATTTACTTGCTATAATTGTACCTAGGATTGCACCCTTGACCAGCTTTGGGTGGTTCTGTAGTAAGATTAAGAGAAGTGGGTGTACCCTTCTTAGTAGGGAGTGGACCGTCACTGTTTCTGTTGTATGCCTTGGTACGCATTATGCACACACCTTGGTACTTGGCTTGGCTTGCTTTGTATTTTCACGACACGCAGGTACCTTACCCTGAAATGAATTTGCAGGGGGAGGGCTGGCCTGCATTGACTCCTCTTCTAAACTCTGTATAATCAACCTTTTCCTCATCCCATTACACAAGGAGGTGGAAGACACAACCCCTGGACGCTGTGCCACAAGCTTCAAAGTCCTGGTAGTTTCCCCACGATTCCGAGGAAAAGCCCTGTTGCAGCGGCATCGGTAAGTAGAGAGAGAATGAGTTAGAATAGCTTGGGGGACTCTCTTCTCCTCTCACTGGCTGGCAGTGTCTCTTTAAAGACTCAGATTCTTGAGTCAAAAGATTCCCAAATAAAATATTCTTTGTATCTCTCCCCCGCTCTTGTCAGTGTTACAGCTTCATGTGCTGTTCCTTACCCAGCAACTTCTCCCTTCCATGATTGTTTCATTCTTGCATTTACATACATTTCTATCCCACCATTGCTACAGGGACCTCAAGGTGGATCACATGCCTCCTGCCTGATTTTACCTTCACAACAACCATGTGAAAGGAGGGTTAGGCTGAGAGTGACTGGCCCAAGGTCATTCCGTGAGCTTCATGGCACAGCAGATGTTTGAATCTGGGTCTTCTCCTAGTCCAGTGATGGCCAAACTTGGCCCTCCAGCTGTTTTTGGACTACAACTCCCATCGCCCCTAGCTAACAGAACTAGTGGTCAGGGATGATGGGAATTGTAGTTCCAAAACAACTGGAGGACCAAGTTTGGCCATCACTGGACTAGTCCAACACTGTTAGCTCTTACACCAGGCTCATTAGACCCCTGTCTAAATTACTTAATACACTGCACTTCTACAAAATTCCATTGCGTTCACAATTAATTATGTATATCTCAAAAACACACTCACTGACATTTTCTGTATCCTTGGAATTTATTAAATTGATGTTCTGATTTTTCATTAATGTGATCAAAGTGTCTAAATCAATGCTGCCTATAGTTTAATTATGTTAAACGAAATAGCACTTTATAAATATGCAAGACTCGGGAAATGTTTTACAAACTTTGTCCATAAAAACATGGTCAGTGATTATTTTCTGGAAAACTTGGAATCAATAAAATGCCTTAAATAGAGGGGGCTCTTATCTGGAGTTAGCCATTTGAGTTGTATTTAATAAACAAAACTAAATATGCATGTCATGTTAGGCTTACATGCGGTATAATTGTCTCTTCCAAAAGCACTTAAATGATTGTGTGTATTATTGATCCCCCCCCCCAGTGTTGCTTGAATGTTTTACTCAAACAGACTGAAAGCTTTACTTGGAAATTTTATTTATTGGACTACTTGTAAATGTTCAGACATAACAATTCAATAGCATAGACTTCCCTTACATTGTTTAATTTTTAGGGGTGGGGGAAATGAAGGCACTGAAAACTAACATACTAACAGCCCAAAGTGCTGCATTTTAGATACAGATGTTTCATTGTATAGTGGTATGAAAAAGTTAATTACGACTTTGAAGCCAACCAATTTGACTGGTATTGTACGGATTCCCCACATTACTAATCACATCTGCAGCCATTCATTTTTGGAAATGTCAAAGATTTTCACAGAGAAGAGTGGAGAAACCGTTTCCGCACCACACCATTGACTTCTTGAATTAATCGGTTTGATTGTGTGCGTTAGAAGTTGTTGCTGGTAGCTAAAAATGGCCAGAGTGGTATTTTAAAAAATTACATTACCGGCTAAGATGCAGTCTAGAAGCAAGAATGCCCTTGGATTTTTGCCTATTTCCATCTCCTCTCCCCACCTTCCCTAGGCTGGTCAATGAAGTCTTAGTGGAGGAGTTGAAGCACATTCATGCCTTTGAGCAGAGAACCCTAACGCCAGAGCAGTGGGCGAAAGAACAAGAAGCTAAGTGAGAGAGGAGCTCCTCTGCCCTGGGAAAGAAGGCGGCGGCAGCCCAGAGACCAAAACAAACCCCCAAGGGAATGGGAGAGGCAGCTGTGGAGCAAACATATGCCGGCGTGGGACCCACCCAGGTCTCCCCAGTGGGAATACTAGGAGGACTTGGAAGAGCATGTAGCAGAAAATAAAATGTAAAACCAGTTTCCTTGTGTGTTATATTGATCATTCCTACCTGTTGGACTCTGCTCTGAGCATCTCTGAAGCCAAATGATCTAAACAAGGATAGGGAACCTGTGACCCTCCAGTTTTAGTAAGTGTGCAAACTAACACTTTGTTTTTTGTTGGTAGGAGATCATTGCTTGATCTCTTCTCTTTCTCTCCCACCCACCTGCCATTGATTGTTAAAAGAAGTCTTGGCCCTTAAAGAAGCGGTAAATGAGGTGGGATTGTTCTTGCAAATATAGAGTAAGATTTTAAAGTCCCAGGAGATAGAAGGGACCTCAAGGGTCATCTAGTCCAACCCCCTGCAATGCAGGAATCTTTTGCTCAACCTCACAACCCTGAGATGAAGAGTCTCATGCTCTACTGACTGAGCTAGGGAGACAGAGAGAGGAGGGCAGCTGGGTGTAAAACAGTGGTTCCCAAACTTTCCCGACCACTTGAAAATTGCTGAGGCTCTTGGTGGACCACTTAACGAAATCTCCACCTGTTGTAGCAATTGTAATGTGTTGTGCTAGGGACTGCAGTTTGGGAACCCCTCTTATGCTGCCCTCTAGTGGTTAAACAAAACAGCTGTAGAAATACGGCTTGGTGTGACTGGCTACTGTATGTACCCCTATGACAAAAAATGGGAATACTGTAGTAGGGTTTTGATTGTGTTTGCTGTCCTCTGGGTGCTTAAAAGATGAGATTGTATTATCTGATTGCATTCTGGACTGAGGGGACGGGGAGGTCAGGCCACTTGGTATTATTAATTTCTAGCCTACCTTTCTGGAGGAGGTCTCTGTGATGTTTAAGAAGAGGTTAAAAATAAGTACTAGGCAAACCCCACTAGTACTGCCGCACAATATAAGAAAACTTGATTGATTTTCGTGAGTTTTGACTAATATTCATATAAACTTGCATATGACAATACTTCTAAAGAAACAAGCGTACTTTATTAGGTAATGCACACTTGCGGTTGTTGCAGCATACATCTTAAAAAGATATTTCCCTTCTCACACATAGGAGGGAATGTGTCTTCTAAGAGAGCCCTTGCTACCTGCTTTTTAAAAAGAAGTACTTACTCGCCCCATCCCCTGCAAGTTGCTGGCCAATAGAAACGTACCCCGGCCTAGTTAACCAAAATGTTCAACTGATTGTCAGTGAAACATTGCAGCCCTGGTTAAAACGTGAGACAAAACCACTGCAGGAAGATGGTCCTACAGCACTTCTACAAAAATCCTGAAGGTGGGTAAAGTTTTCTCAGGGGAGGCAGCAACATGGAGGCGGTGCCATGCATCTAATCTGGGAGCTGGGAGGCAATGTGGAGAAGGACGCCAGCAGGTCGTGGGGCAGAGGCGACTGGCGTGCAAGAACTTGGCAAGAGGGTGAGCTTAGTGCTGCCCAGGCAGAATCAAGGCAGCAGTGGAACCTGGCTAGCCAAAAGCAAAGCCCATTTGG